CTCTCTCTCTCTCTCTCTCTCTCTCTCTCTCTCTCTCTCTCTCTCACTCTCACTCACACACACACACACATACACACAAACACATACATACACGAGCTTCAATATGATCATGACTAAGTCTACTTTCCAGGCCCCCGGGGAAAATGTTCTATGGTTGTGTGGAAAAAAAAAAAAGGGAAATTGCCTATTTCTCTGCCCTTTATTTTAGTCTCTCTCTTTTCCTTTACCTCTGTAATTATCTAGTAAAAATAAGTGGCTAACTACATCTAGTGGAGCCACATTTTAGAAAGAATATGGTGTCTTAAAAATTGATAACACTTGTTTTGACATCACCTTTCCCAGCCCCTCTATCATCCCTTGTAACAAAGGCCAAAAAGAAAAGAGAAAAAAGAAGTTCAGCAAATCTAACTGACACCAGCTGAGACAGATAGTACATGTAGTGTTCTGTAACTCCACCTCTGCAAAGGAGGCAGGGAAGTGCACTTTCTTATCTCTTCTCTCAGGCCAAGCTTGGTCATTCTAATTACACAGTATTCAGTTTAATTTTGTGAGTGTTCTTTCCGTTTGCTTTTTATACATGATTTTCTTGGATCTGCTTTTGTAGTGTGCATCAGTTCAGATGTCTTCCCATGCTTCTCTGACTTCTTCATATTTATTGTTTTTATAGCCCAGTAATGTTCTGTTATATTTGTGTACCACAGTTTGTTTAGCCATTCCAAGCTCGTTATTTGTAGTTCTTTGCTACCATAAAAAGTGCTGTTATGAATGTTTTGTTATATATGGGATGTTTCTGTCTTTGACCTCTTAGTAGTAGGATCTCTAGGTCAAAGGGACTTTTTTTTTTAAAGCTTAATTCCAAATTACCTTCCTGAATGGTTAGACCACTTTTCCTTATTCTTTAAATCACTTTAGACCTGATTCCGTTCATTTTCTTTATAGTCCTATCCAGTTCTGCCCAATTCCTGTTTAGCACTACCCAACTCTTTGTTATCCTAGCTAGTTAGGTTTTTTTTGTGTTTTTTGTTTTTATGTTCTCTTACACTTTCACTGGTTCTGGGTGGGTTTCACTTGTTCTAGTCTAACTCTGTAGTGGAGGTCAGGAGAAAGCCATGATGTTTTTGTGAATGGAAGGCCCAAATCAAGAGCAACACGTTGCTTTTTAGATGTAGGATGAACATTTGGGCTTTCACCAAATGAGGAAGAGGCTGATTATAAAAACAAGGAGAAAGAGCATCAGTTTTCTAAAAAATGGTTTTGAGAGAGGGAGGGAAACTCTGTGTGTGTGTGTGTGTGTTTGGCACCAAGCCTTTTTAAAAATTATATTTTATTTTTTCAATTAACAAAAATTGATTTTTCTTTCCCTCCAGCCTTTCCCCCCACCATTTAAAAAAAGAAAAAGAAAACCCTTGTAACAAATATGCATAGTCAAGCAAAGCAAATTCCCACATTGGCCATGTCCAAAAAAAATATATGTCTCCTTCTGCACCTTGAGTCCATCACATCTCTGTCAGGAGGTGGGTAGTATGCTTTATCATCGGTTCTCTGGAATCATGGTTGGTCATTTCATTGATCAGAGTTCTTAAGTCTTTCAGAGTTGTTTGTTTTCACAATGTTGTTATTGTATAAATTGTTCTCCTGATTCTGCTTGGTTCTCCTTGCATCAGTTCATACAAATCTTTCTAGGTTTCACCGAAGCCATCCTTTTCATCATTTCTTATGGCACAGTAGTATTCCATTACATTCATATGCCATAGTTTGTTCAGCCATTCCCCAATTGATGGGCACTCTTTTCTTAGTTTCCAGATCTTTGCCACCATAAAAAGGGTTGCTATAAATATTTTTGTATGTATGGGTCATTTTCCTCTTTTTTTTTGATTTCTTTGGAGTATAGGCCTGGTAGTGATATTGCTGGGTCAGAGGGTATGTACCGTTTAGAAACTTTGAGTGTACTATTTCATAGCTCTATTAGCAGTGCATTAATGTGCCTGTCTTTCATCAGCCTCTTGAACATTGTCATTTTCCTTTTTTGGTCAACTCTCAAACCTCAGAATTTGCTTTAATTTGTATTTCTCTAATTATTAGTGGTTTGGAGTATTTTTTAATATGGCTACTTATAACTTGGATTTCCTCTTTTGAAAGCTGCTGATTCATATCCTTTGACCATTTTATCAATTGGGGAATGGCTTTTATTCTTATACATTTGAATCAATTTAAGAAATGGTTTTAACAGGATAATTGGAGAGCTGGAAAGCACATGTTGTGCTTTTTAAGGTTTTAAAAAGAGGATACTGTTTAATCTTACATATGTGACTACTTATGAAGAAATGTTAGATTATTAATGCTATGATTTGCTTAAGGGAAGGAGACATCAGTTGACTGCTGTTCTTTCCTTCCTCTGAGTTTTTTCTCTGCTATTAATTTTTTTGTTCCTGGGCATGTATCATTCACATTTTTCCTTTTAGTTTTATGTATGGAAAAGAACAAACCAAAGTAGACTGAGTTTTGGTTTTGGAGTCAGATTCCAAGTATCACGTCCTACCTCACATGGTCTTGGAGAAGTGATTTAACTTGTTAGTGTCCCAGGCAATACTCTAAGACTAAGTTACAGAAGAACTGCTAGTATGAACGGAGGGAAGAAGTTAGCACCACAGGCACTCCCTGTGCCAGTAAAGTTATATGTCCGAACCTCCTTCCTTCAGCCTCCACATGTAATAGGAAGAAACAGCGTATCAGTGTTCTCTAGTTCTGAAGAAGTGGGAAATAGAAGGAGATGAATTGTACTAATATAGGAAACCCCTGACTTTCAACCCTGCCATATCTTTAATTTTTGTAGGAAATATTCTCAGATTTCTTTGCAGCTGTAGTCTCTCTTTTTACTTTTTAACCACCTTTCTTACGATGAAGAAATTCAGTGGTACTGTGGCCATGTTTTCTGTTTACCCATAGCCAAATACTAGGCAAATCATTTCTTCTGTCTGTCTTGTCTTGGCCCTCCATAATCCCTTTTCAAGTATCATAGGAGGCACAAAGCTCCTAGGGCATGGCTGCAATTCTTTATAGTTATTATCTAGTATGGACCACAGAGTTACTTAATCTTGGAGATAGAAGGGACTTCAAAAGCCATCTTGTATGACTCATACCTGAAAAAGGAACTCTTCTACAATATACCCAATAAGTGCCCATTCAGACTTTGTGTGAAGACCTCTAGTTGTTGTGGGGAGTTACGGGTAGGATCCAATACATTTCAAAGCAACCCATTTTGCATTTGGCTAGCTCTAATTGTAAGAATTTTTTTCTTATGTCAACCCTAAATTTGTTGCCTTTGAATTTTTTATTTACTGTTCCTGGTTCTTTCCTCTGTGGCCACTAAGCATTAACTCAGAAAAGGAAATAAAATTAGTCTGGCATGACCTTTTCTTTATGAAGCCACGCTAGCCTTTTGTGTTGACCGTTTATTTTTCTAGATGGTCATTAAGTATCTCTTTAGTGAGCTTTTCTAGAATTTTCTCAGTAATTGAAGTCAAGGTCATTGGCATGTAATTTGCAGAATTTCTTTCTTTCTTTTGTGGCCACATATTCTTTCCTTTATGAAAAGATCAGGATAACATTTGCCTTTTTCCAGTCCTGTGGTGTATCTTTTGTTCTCTGTCATCTTTTGCATATTGCTGATGGTTGCTCGGGGATCAGATCTGCCAGAATCTTTCTCTAACTGAGGGTATATGTCACCTGAGGTTGGTGACTTTAATCCATTAAGACTAACAAGGTTCTCTTGTACTCTCCATAGGACATCACGCTCCTTTGTAGCCCTTTAAATCTTCTGTTCCCCATGCAAAGGCTAGTTTCCTTTGCAAAGAAAAAAACAAGCAAAATAAAAATTAGACAGCTAGGACTTGTGTTGTTGGTCACTGCAGCTCCACCCACCTGGACAAGTATCCTCTTATCCTTCCACTGCACCAGTGTAGCTAACTCCCTTCTGTTGTCCTGAATGTTTCTTGCCTGCTTCAGCTCACTCCAAGTGGCACTCCTAAGACCGTGAGAGAAACTAACTGTGCTATTGTATTTGTTCTGTTACCTTTCCTGGCATCTGTCTTACATATCTACTTTATAAAAATCTAAAAAGTTGGTTTGAATGTTTTCTGTGCATTCACATCAGTCTCTTCAAACAGTTTCCCCTTTTTTACTTCACTGAAATAATTTCCTTTTGTGTATTTAGAATTTTATTTTCGAGAGTTTTCCTTCCTCCTGGACTCATTTCTGTAGAACTTTAGTCTTTGGGATCCTGCCTCGCTTTTTTCTGAGCCTTTTGAAATCTGCTTACTCAAAGTAAAGGGGACATGCTATTGTCTCTTTTTTTATGCCCACCAACTCCAGGAGTCTTGGGTCACTTTCCTCAATGTTTGCATCATTTTCACCCCAACAAGCGAGAAACAGATCCAGTGTAGAATTTCTCCTTTTTGGTTCTTTCAGCTTGCATTAAGGCAATTCAAGAAGTTATTAGCTTACTCTGATTTGGGGGTGGTGGTGGAGAGAGAGGAGCAAAAAAGGAAAGGGAGGGAGAGAGAGAGAGAGTGTGAGTGTGTGTGTGAGTGCATGCCCCAGCAGGTGTCAAATGATTGAAGTTTTCCATCCATCAGTCAATAAACATTAAGTGCTTACTGTGTGCCAGGCAGTGTGCCAAATGCTGAGGATACAGAAAGAGGCAAAAGACCTCTCTCCCTACCCTCGAAGTTTTCAATTCCACCATTAATGAATGAGTTTTTGTTTCTTTTTAAATGCAGATGTCTTATTGAAACTTTTTTTTAAAACGTTGCAATGTGACATCCTGATGAAGCCCCATTGGTTTTTGAGATCGCTATTTCCTTTTCTAGATGTCCATCAATGAGCCGTTTAATAACCTCTTCTACATTTTGCCAGGATTTGAAGTCAAGTTCACTGGCCTGTAGTTGGTAGATTTCATTTTCTTTCCTGTTTAGAAATTTGGAATAGAATTTTCCCTTTTCCCTGTGGTACATTTGTTGTCCTCCATGATAATTTAGAGATTACTGCCATGTCCACAAGTTCTCAGAACTCTTACATGTGGTTCTTCTGGCCTGGGTGATTTGGAATTTGTTAAGTATGCTGTAACCATAATCCTGTTGGGCAGCTAAGTGGTGCAGTGGATAGTTTGCCAGGCCTGGAGTCAAATCTAGCCTCAGACACTTACTAGCTGTGTGACCCTGGACAAGTCACTTAACCCTGTTTTTGTCAGTTCATCATCTGTAAAATGAGCTGGAGAAGGAAATGACAAATCACACTAGTATCTTGGCCAAGAAAACCTCAAATGGAGTCCTGAAGAGTTAGAAGTGACTGAAATGTATGAACAACAAAATTCATCATCCTACTTATCTTATCCTGGTTTTAAGTTACCTATTAGCCATATTTTTGTCTGTCATTTCTAGTCCATAGAGCATTCTCCTTAGGTGAGAAAGCAGAAGGAAAAGATGAATGGGAGCAGCCTTGCTTTGTGTCTTCTGTGATTCAGGATCATTGTTCTGTTTGTAATTAGCATCATGCCTTTTCCCTACCATATAGCTAAAATTATTTGGGGCATAATTTCCTCGCCAGACACTGTAGTAGAGACATTGACATTGACGATCTATTTTTAGCATCAGATTGTCTGGTACTAGAGTCAGACATGAATTTCTAAGTCTTAATTCACTGTCATTTTGAAAGTCCAGAAACCAGAGCAGTTCTTGACATACCTACTTATTGGTTAGATATTTTACAATCTGTCATATATTATTCATCCCTGAATATTTTTTTAAATAGGATATAAAATGTACCTGATGGGTTTTGGGATCAATTAGTTTTTAAAGCCTTTGGATATTACTGTTATCTCCCTGCTTCTTGTCTTTGTTTTCTCTAATCAATGTTACATACTGCTTGTATATTAATCTTAAAACAGTTTTCAGATCACAAACCCTCAGTAGTTTCCCATTGCATTACCTGAAGTGGTATAAACTTATATTGATAATAAAGTCTAAACTAATTTTGGTATTCAAAACCTGCCACAGTCTGGCCTAAACCAGTTTTGCCAGCCACTTTTTCATGGTTACTCCAAATCAGTCCCTTATTCCAGCCTAGCTTCTTGCCCAGTGTCACTAGAACCTATCTTAATGCATTCCTCCCTCAGTGGTTTTACTTGTGCTGTTCCTCTTGCCTGAAATGCCTTTGGTCCTCCCTATCCTTCAAACCTTAGTCCTAATTTAATCATTTATAAACCTTCTGTGATCACCGCAGCCCACAGTGATTATTCTCTGCCATGAATTACGACTGTCTATCACTTATTTAGCACTAAACTATACTACCTTTTCTCGTTTGATTATTTTCATATGTGTGGGTCTTGTCTCCAACTAGATTATAAGCTTCTTGAGAGGAGAGACTTGTGTCTTAAAATTCATCAGACTCCCTAAAATACCTGCCACAGTATTATTTATACACATAACATTGGGTCATCAAAAAATATTAACTGCTAAGTTGATTTAAGGGAGGCAAAGAATTTAAAAGCCTTGCATTTGTGCTTCAAGCTTAACCAAAGATGATTGAAAGAATTGAGATGAGGCTCAAATAGAGAATTGTTTGGAGAATTGGTGAGTGGATGATAATGAAATTCAAATGTCATAGATTCCATATAATGAAATATAGTTGTAGAAAAAGGCTCTACGAGCCTCATAATACAATCTTGCCGATTCCAGTCATCTCTAACCTCTCACTCATACTTTTTATCCTTTGGCAGGAGTATGCCCTTTCTGGCTGGAACCTGAATAACATGCCTGTGCTGGAACAGTCTGTCCTTGCACATATCAACGTGGATATCTCTGGTATGAAGGTGCCTTGGCTCTATGTGGGCATGTGCTTCTCTTCATTTTGCTGGCACATTGAGGATCACTGGAGCTATTCTATCAACTATCTGCACTGGTACGAGTATCCTTTAATGATCCTCCTCACTGTGCTTTACCACTGCAGGTTTCTTTTCGATATGTATATTTACTAAAAGTCATTTGGGGGTAGGGGACAGATGGATTTATTATTAAGTGATTTATTGGGGAGACCTATCCTATCTAAAAGTATTTTCTACCCAAAATAAAAATTTGATTTTAAAAAGAAATTGGAAATATCATTGAAGGCTACTTCATGCTAAGCTCCTTTCCTTTTACTATAGGCTACAACATCCCAGGTCCCTTTCACTTCCAACCTATGTAAGAAGTACAGGCAAAAGTTTTGGACCAAATGATACGTGGCCAATATGTTAGGTAATTCTGGTTGAATCTTATATACCTTTCTAGCTCATTCTAGCTTAATATATATTACTGAATAACTTAACTGAATGGTTAGCCTTTTTACTGTGTAGGTAATTTAAGTCCAAATAAGTGGGTTAATCCATGAATATGAAACCAAACCTAATTTTCTTGAATTTCCATGTTTTCGTGTTTTTTTTAAATGACAGTTTACCCTAAGAAAACTTGAGTATATAGCAATGTCCATTATTTATTTCTTTTGAATTGTATTTGTAACCTTTATTTAATTTCCCAGTCATTTGGTTAGTGTTCTGATACCTCCAATAACTATCTTTCTCTTTGCTCTTTATGTCCCACTTTTGCTACAGAAGGCAGTAGAAAGTCCCATCACTTTCTTACCATAGCCCATTTTGTTTCCACTGTTTGTCACCATGTGAATTGGATTGAGAAATTTGACTAGCAAATAGCATGACTGGTAATTTCAAGTGTTAGTAGTGTGGCTTGGTTTTATAGATGTACTGTATCAGAATGAGGCTAATAGGTTGTTGGTCTAACCTTGGTTTTGACGTTTAGATTATTAGTTGAACATAATTAGGATGTTATCTAAAAGTATTCTAGAGACCAAGACCAGTAACTACAATTTTGAACCTGTTGGACTTGGCATGGGTAGTATGGTTTATCATGTTGGTGTGTCAGCATCCTTTAGAAGAATGCCTGTATGTTATCCATTAAATGCCTCGTTGTGTTATGGAGGTGACCCTGGGTACTTGAAGGCTGTGTCATTGGAGCCAAAGCTCTAGCTAGTCCTTATAAAGTGAAAAGTTTCGGATACAGCCTGCTGTACTTCCATTATTTAAGGGTGAGCATAAGTTAGGTTTGAAGAAGATCATCCTCAGAAAGTTGGCCACCAAGATATTCATTTGTACTTTTGCAACTAACTTCTGCAAGTGTTAAGAACAACTAATGTACCTTTACCAAGGCCTAGAGGAGTTGCAGCCTGCAGCTGTCAGTGAGGTTCCCCTCACTATGATGAACCATAGATTCTCAAAATGTTAGCACAAATATCCTTCATATGTGAAGATGTTAAAGATTCATGCTTGGTGCAGTATATGTTTTTTGAGGTATTTTTCCAGGTCTGATCATGTCACTTTTACTCAATAAACTTACGTGGCTTCCTGATGCCTCCAGGAGGAAATACAAAATGCTCTGTTTGGCATTCAGATCCCTTCATAACCGAGCCCTCTCCTGTCTTTCATGTCTTTTTATATCTTACTGTCCTGGCTATTCTGTGAACAAGACACTCCACTTCTTGGCTCTGAGCATTTTCTGTGGCTGTCTCTCATGCCTAGAATGCTTTCCCTCCTTCGCTCAGACAACTGACCTCCCTGGCATCTTTTTAAGTACCAGCTAAAATCCCACCTTCTACAGGAAGCCTTCCCTAACCCCTCTTAATTCCAGTGCTTTCCCTCTTTTAATTTTTTCCTACGTATCCTGCATGTAGCTTGCTTCATATGTATTTGTTTGCATGTTGCCTCCCTTGTTATATTGTAAGCTTCTTGAGGGCAGGGACTGTCTTTTGCCTCTTTTTGTATCTTTAGAGCACAGTGCCTGGAACATAGTAGGTGCTGAATTGTGTTTTTGAATTGTATTGAAATATATTGCTCCATTAACAAACTTGTGTGTGGTCTCTCATTTGTGAGCTAACTGTCAGGATTTTGGACAGACTGAAGTTAGTTGGTTGGGATTGACCGTATGACTTTATCCTTATTCAGCACCTGTTGTGCCTTGCCTAAGAGCTATTTTTTCCCTAGGGGGGAGCCAAAGACATGGTATGGTGTCCCATCTCATGCTGCAGAACAACTGGAGGAAGTGATGAGGGAGCTGGCCCCTGAACTGTTCGAGTCCCAGCCTGATCTCCTGCATCAGTTAGTCACCATCATGAACCCCAATGTACTGATGGAACACGGCGTGCCTGTGAGTCTCTTTGTGTCTCTCTTCGGTACTTTTAACCTGAAGTTATTTCAGATTTTGATTTGAGTAAACATAGACTATTTTGTGGTTAGTTAAAAGGGGTATTTTGAAATATGAGTCAGATTATACTTAACAGATCCTATTTAAGTGGAATATTTTGAAGAATGGCCTTTTGTGTTCATTAAGGCATTTCATGCTATGTTAGTACAACCTCATAACTTATATCACTGTTGTTTAATCAAAAGCCATTGTTAAATAAAAGCCAAGTGTTTTAAATGGCAACCCTATGAGTTAATCTTTATGCTCGTGAAAATTGCATTTCATATAAGGATTTTGTAATCATTTAATCTGGTGACCTAATGAAATAAATATATTAAATCCAAACATTTTTATTCAATATTTTAATGCTAAGATGTATTCTTAAACTATGTAATAAGTACCTTGTAAAGCACTACTTTAACAAATTGATTGGAGACAGATATCTAACTTTACTTGAATAAGAAAGAAAATGTCCAGATTAAGTAACTTTAATAATTCTGCTTTCTTCTTGAGTAAGGATTTTATTCTAGGACCTTTCAAAGGGCAAATTTAAGTATTTTTGAACAAAGCTGGCTCAGTGACAAAAAACTGGTTTTTGGGTGACTGTATACCAAATATTGGGGTCTGGTTAACTCCCAAAAGGTGTCCCTATGTGTTAGAAGGAAATTTTTATCTTTCCCGTTGTATTTTATAACATGAATGGAGGGAAAATTCCCTTGAGTGCCAGCTTTAGCCAGTATACAGTTTTGAAGATATAGGAAACATTTGGTACTTTAAGAATTTGTTATTTTGGGGGCAGCTAGGTGGCACAGTGGATAGAGTACTGGCCCTGAAGTCAGGAAGACCTGAGTTCAAATCCAGCCTCATACCAGACACTTGACACTTATAGCTGTGTGACCCTGGGCAAGTCACTTAACCCCAATTGCCTAAAAATAAAAAAAAAAAATAAAGAATTTGTTATTTTGGAATGTCTTTGGCTACTAATTATGGTGTTTGGTAATTTTAGTGTTAACAGGAAAGGTTTTTCCCCCCCAGAGGAAAAGCTCTTAGCTATTTCTAAAAATCTTGATTCGTTTTTTTTTCTTGATGTAAATATAGTAGGATGCTTGCTGTTTCTAGTTTGAAAAAATATTTCTAAAATAGCTGTCTGATAAAAATATATCTTTCTCCTCTGTGTCCCCCCACCCTTTTTTGTATTTCATCCCCTAATTTGCATTCAGGTATTCAGGACCAATCAGTGTGCAGGAGAGTTTGTCGTGACATTTCCTCGTGCCTATCACTCTGGATTTAACCAGGGCTACAATTTCGCTGAAGCTGTGAACTTCTGCACTGCTGACTGGGTCTGTTCTATTGCTAGTGGCTGTTGTTTATCTGCTAACAAGTCTGTGATATGTAGCTTAGTCACTGTGTTTGCTTAGGTAGGCAGTGAGTGGGAAGCATAAATTGGAGTGGAGAGGTCAGACTGAGTTTCTATCACATTCTTCATTTGGAGGATTTATAATTAATCGTTTTTAATCCATCCCTTATTCCTAATTCATCCTGTCTGATTTAAAAATGAACAATTGATGCCCATAGTTCTTTGCTTTTATAGGTGTCTTCTTTAGGTTTTTTGTTTTTGAGCACTGTTGTCTTTAAGCTTTTGCAAATTTTTGGCATCAGAAAGATGACTTAAACATGCAGAGTTGATTTGTGGCATTCATTTAACAATACTGTATTGATCCAAAGGTAGGCTATTCTTTGAATATAGGCCACATTGCTAAAAATGAACTCTCTCAAAAGAAAATCATTTTCAGGTATACATTGAAAAATGTTTAGACAAAAATACTGTGAAAGCTCTTTTTTTTTTTTTTTTTTTGGCAGTTGGGGTTAAGTGACTTGCCCAGGGTCACACAGCTACTAAGTGTCAGATGTTTGGTCTGAGGCCGGATTTGAACTCAGGTCCTCCTGACCTCAGGGCCGGTGCTCTATCCACTGCGCCATCTAGGTGCCCCTGTGAAAGCTCTTTTAAAAAACATTTAAAGTCAAATAAAGTTCTAACCACTGATGCGTCAGTTTTGTTGTGAAGGCAGCTCAGGTTCTGAAAAGTTATACTAGTAGCATATAAACTGTCACAGGTTTTATCAAGTGGGAAACACTTTACCACAGTCCAAGGATCACCTGTCCACTGGCTCACACCAGTAGATTGGCTATTTTATGATGAAATTTTTAGTTGTCAAACTACATTTTAAAAAATAACCATTGATAACTTTTATCTTTGTCACTTTGTCATTCCTACTAAAAATGTGATTATATAGTAAACTTGGGCTTTGTACAACCCGCATTTTATGGGTCTGGGGTTGGGAGCGTAGCATTTAAATACAGAACTGTATGATGACATAAGTGTCTTAGAGCAACAACAAAGTGTCTAGCAGTGTGATTTTTATTAAAGAGAGGACTTGACCTTATTTTCTTCTCACTGATGGCAAATCAAGTAATCCCTGCCCCCTTCTCTGTTACTTTTGCTGCCATTTTGTATCTATTTCAATTAAGAACTTTGTTTCATATCTAAAGAGTAATTACAGCATTGAAACTTACGTGTGATATAATGAAAATAACTTTTGTATGTAATGTGAATAGTGCTACCAGTGATTGCTAGGGACACTCTGCTGTCCTTAGGGCGGTGATAATAATAATTACATCAGGTCAAATGAACATGAGATTGCATGTTTTAGGATATAGTCTTTTTAAAATTTAATTTAATTTTTTTTATTAATTTATTTTTAGTTTTCAACAATCACTTCCATAAGTTTTTGAGTTTTTAATTTTCTTCCCCTCCTTCCCTGATTCCCTCCCCTAGACGGTGTGTAATCTAATATAGGCTCTACATATACATTCCTATTAAACATATTTTCACAGTTAGGATATAGTCTTTCGGAAGATCCTTATATGGTAAGACTGTGATGGCCACCACTCTTACAATTTTACTTTTGTTTTACTTTGGTTTTGGTGACTCCTTAATTTTAGTTATACCTATCTAGACTAGCCTGATCTTCAGGGCTATCTGTGAATTCAGTAACTCCCACAGTGACAACAAAACATTCATTAGAACTTAAAAGAGAGGTAACAGCATAACATGCTCATTAAGTACAGGCGAGTGTTGCTGCAGTCTGACAAACAGATGAAACAAAAGCTTTCCTAGGGAGGATCATCCAGGTTTGTTGATGATATCTAATGCTTGATTTTCTTTCCTTTTTTTCATTAGTCTTTTTTTCCATTTCATTCTTTCTAAAAAGTAGTTATAAGGAGGTAGCAGAAAATCCAAGTCATGTTTTTTTTCTTTCCAGCTCAAGAGTTTAATATTATATATTATGTGATATAATAGGTATAGAGTACTTTGCAAATGATATAAACATCAGCTATTAATTCCAGTTTTTTATTAGAATAATAGTATGGCCATAAAGTGATTTTCTTGCATGATTTATGGATATTAAATCTGTAATTACTTCATTATTCTGCCCCAGGTTGTATGTTACTACCATGGAGAAATTTTATATCATTCTTTTCTTTAGAGTGTTTTCACATAGATAATCTCTTTTATTATAATTGGATAAAGCAACATGTTAGTTTTTTCTTTTTCTTTTTTTTTTTTTTAGTTGGGAAATTGAGGATTGGTGAAATTCGGTGCTTGTCCAAGGTTGGACAATCTCTGGTAAAATGATTACTCTTACCTTGGGTTTAACTCCCAAATCTGGTATTGTTCTTACTAGGCAATGCTGTTTTCCATAAAGGATCAGTGAGGGAGAATTTGAAACTAGTGACTCAAGCAAGACTATCCGTTAACTTGACTGTTTTTCATTTATTAGCAGAGGAAGCACAAACAATAATTTTCATGTTTTTATAATTTTCACAAAAGCATTCATTAAAAAAAAAATTCCCATTAACATTCCTTCCTTGACTAAACTCAGTTGTATCTCAGTAAAATTCTTAACAGTATAAATTATTTATAAACAACTGAATAGGGATTGTATTATTAATTTTCATTAAGAAAAATAAAATTGAAAACAGTTTCAAATTAGCAATTAATTTTTAAAATACCAAATGATATACTCAGTGACTTAATTTGATCTGCTGATTTTATGTCTTCAGACATAGTGGGTAGGTGTTTAACCCTGTCTTCTAAATAGTCTGCCTTTGGGGCAGGTAGGTGGAGCAGTGGATAGAGCACTGGCCCTGGATTCAGGAGGACCTGAGTTCAAATCTGGCCTCAGACACATAACACTTACTAGCTTTGTGACCCTGGGCAAGTCACTTAACCCCATTGCCTAGCCACAAAAAAAAAAAAATAGTCTGCCTTTAGTGTGCTTTGCTCTGTTACTAGATGATGATAATTTAATTTATGTCTTTTGTTTACCTCTGAACTGTGGAGGTCAAGGGAAGTGGGTTTAATATGTCGACTGACCATCTATCCTGTGGTTACTTCAAAGTAGAAGATCATTCTAAACTTTCTAAAGCATTTAAAAAAATTTTTTTAGAATGCTTTATAAAGCATTTCTTAACGTTCGAAGCCCAATAAATAATTAAATAAATAACAATGTTTATAGTGTCTATCTGCCTGTAAAGCTCAAATGAAGTGTTGTATGTAAAACTTTTCAAACTTTAAAGCGCTATATAAATGCCAGTTATTATTATTATTATTCTGCATTATAGAATGTAACGTAGACAAGTAATTCGATTTGGGTATCCTTTCATGGCTTCAGCTGCCTATTGGACGTCAGTGTGTGAATCATTATCGACGACTAAGGCGTCACTGTGTGTTCTCACATGAGGAACTTATCTTCAAGATGGCTGCAGATCCAGAATGTCTTGATGTAGGGCTTGCTGCTATGGTCTGCAAAGAAATGACCCTTATGACTGAAGAGGAGACACGACTGAGGGAATCTGTTGTACAAATGGTGAGTAAACTCAGTGCTACTTCTGTGTTAGAAATACACTATAAGAAGAACCCGTACAGCCCAAGTTTTCACTATAGTTTACTTCAGAAGCCCAAGTGAGTCAATATCTGATTAATTGAGCTAATGGCAGCAGGTGTTTCAAACCTTCTTTCATCAAACCTCCCATTCCATCCCCTTCATGGCTACTAAACTCCTCTCTTACTTTACTAAGAAAATAGAAGCAACTGTTATAAACATCATGCTTTTCCTTTTTCCCCCTTCTGTAAATCTGGAAACTCTTTGATATCCTTTCCCATTCTTTCTTCCTTTACTCTAGTCTCAGATATTAGCACTTCTCCTTGCCAAAACCATTCCCTCTATCTGTGATACCATCCCCTTATGTCTTCTCCAGCAGATTGCCTCACAGTCATCTGCTCTTTGTCTCTTAAGTTCATTCTCTCCCTATCTTCCTATATCTTTCCTACTTTTAACAGCCAAACTCCTGGAAAATACTTGTTGCTTTTGCTTCCTCTTTGCTTATTTCTCAACATTATGTTTTATGATTTAAAAGTGTTTTTGCTGATATCTTGGTTTTTTGTTGTCCTCATTTCCTGAACACATACCTGGAACAAAAAAGGGAAAGAAAAGTAATTTAGCAAAAACAGTTATCCCGTCTATTGAATCTGAGTCTAAACAACATTCCATAGTTTCTCCCACTCTGCCCAGAAGGGTGTATTCATGGTTGCACAGTTTTTGGGTTTGATAATGGAACTTTTGACTCCTACTCTAATTCTCTTTCTATTAAATTGGGTTGTCGTCCTGTCCCATTCCAATTCCTTACTTCAGCTTCGTGTAGTATACTCACCAGTCAGTTTTTTAGGTTGGTTTTTACTTCTGGTTGGATAAGATTAGTCATAGGTTCACCGCTGTCCCCATGACATAGATGTTGTTGCTATCCCTGACAAATATGAGCATTGTACTTGCTTCCGTGCTACAGTTTCTACCCCAAATAAGAAAAGGATCACAATACTTCTGTCTTTGTGTATGTTTCGGGGTTATTGCTCAGATTTTAAGCCCTTAGAGGTTGAAAATAGTTTTTGATTCTTGAACGATGTTATGCACATGTGGGAACTAATACTTTTTTTACATTATTTAAGTACAAGATATTGTTTGTTGCTTATGTGTTTCTTGGTTTGCCATTAAAGGGAATTGCACCTTCCATGATTGTACCCGTAACTAGAAAATAATCAGTAGGTAATTTTTTTCTTTTTAAAGTTTTTTATTTTTAGTGAAAAAATTCTGTTTCAGGGTGTACTGTTATCTGAAGAAGAGGTGTTTGAACTTGTTCCTGATGATGAGCGACAGTGTTCAGCTTGCAGAACTACATGCTTTCTCTCTGCTCTTACTTGTTCCTGCAACCCTGATCGGCTTGTGTGTCTCTACCATCCTGCTGACTTATGCCCTTGTCCTATGCAGAAGAAATGTCTTAGGTATGAAAACGAATCATCTTCTTTTAAGTTCTCTGCCATCTTCTTGTTTGGTAAAAACATTGTAGCTAGGAATCTGCAAACACAGCTAGAAAGATGGAAGTAAAGTTTTAAAGATGTAAGATAAGCTGAAAAGTTGAAAATCCAGTCAGGAAGCTAAAAACATAGCTATAAACTAACAAGCATATCAAAAAGTAAGACATCTAATAAAAGGTTACAAATTGAGTAGGGAACTTACAAACCCAGCTAGAGGCAGCTTGGTGGCACAGTGGATAGATGCTAGATCTGGAGTCAGGAAGATATCAGTTAAATTTGTCCTCAGATACTTACTAGGTGTGTGACCCTGGGCAACTCACTAAACTTCTGTCTACCTCAGTTTCCTCATCTGTAAAATTGGGCCCTACCTCATGAGGTTGTTGGGAGGGTCTAATGATATTTGTGATGTACTTAGCCAACCTTAAAATACTCTGTGAATGCTAATTATTGTTACTCTTATTATTAAGATTATTATTAAATTGGCAAACCAGCTGCAAACCTACAAAAACAGCTAGAAAGCTGAAATTCTAGCAAGAAAGCTGCAAACACGACTAGAAAAATGGAGACCTATGTATAGAAGCCTACAAACATAATCATATAGCTGAAAAGCTGTCTTACCCTTGGTGCTTAATGATCATTTGTTAAATTTCTAGAAAAATGGAATTGTATTTTCTCATCAATATCTCCTATTTTACCATTCCCATAAATTTTGTTCTGATCTTGGAAGCTAAAATTTAGCCTCATTAGATATTTATTATGTTTCTTCTTCTCCTTGTGGCATTCTTCTAGACCAGGCTGCCATTCCTCTGCCTCTTGTATTCTTCTTTGACTGGTTATACGTGTAGGACTTAATTTCCTTCGATTTGTTAGAATTTTTGAAGTTTTTGCTGTTATGTCTTTTCACTAGGTACCGGTATCCATTGGAAGACCTTCCTTCTCTCTTGTATGGTGTTAAAGTCAGAGCACAGTCCTATGACACTTGGGTCAGTCGAGTTACAGAGGCATTGTCTGCAAGCCTCAACCACAAGAAAGGTTAGATTTCCAATACAAGAAGGATTATTTCTCTAGTAGAGGATTTATATGTTGGTTATCTTATGCAAAATTATTTTCTTAAGGGTACAATAGGTGGGATGAGATTCTTGTTTTTTCTCTTTTAAAAGCCCTCCCAGACCACCAAGAGAACTTTGAACTCTTTTGAAGTTTGTGGCAAAAGGATTGACTAAGAATGAAATGGCCTTCTCTGTGGGAATGGATATCTAGAAGAAAAAGTTGATATCTTTAACCCTTTTATGTCACCGATCCCTTTGGCAGACTAGTGACACCTATGGCCTGCTTATCAAAATAATGTTTTAAAATAATTTTAAAAACATGTTTTACAATGAAAATTTGAAACAAAATTATAAAAATATTTAAAAAAAATAACAAATTCATGGACCCCATGTGAAGAACCTTGGCTTTGGATCAATGATTTGCATTAGATGTAAGGTTCTCTTTGGGTGATGATTATTCTCAATATACTGATAACAGAAGGCAAATTGGATGAAAAAGAAGTTTCTCATATGGGAGAAATTGTAGCACAGAAGAATTAGCATCTAGTGAATTATTTTTATTGGGCTGGTGAGATTTTCTCAGCTGCAACTTGCTGATACTAAAAGATGATTCTCTTGTATAGAATTGGGGTTAAGATTTTAAAATTACTTTTAAAGCTGATTTCATAGTATTTGTATAGCATTTTAAAACATAATATTTTATTTCTCCCACAATTATCTGTAAAGACAATTTTTTGCATTCATTTTTTAAGATTTTGAGCTCCAAATTCTCCCCCCGCCAAAGACAGTAAGCAATTTGATATTGGTTATACATGTTAGTCATGCTGTAAAAGAAGACACAGACCAAAAAAGAAAAGACACACAAAAAATAAACAAAGTGAAAAATAGTATGCTTCAATCTGCATTGAGATTCTATCAGTTCTTTCTCTGGATGTGGATAACATTTTTCATCATGAGCCCTTTGGAATTGTCTTGGATCATTGTATTGCTGAGAATAACCAAGTCATTCACAGTTGATCATTGTACAATATTGTTGTTACTGTGTACAATGTTGTCCAGCTGTTGCGCACTTCACATCACATCACTCACATCAGTTCGTGTAAGTCTTTCCAGGTTTTTCTGAACTCATCCTGCTCATCATTTCTTGAAGCACAGTAGTATTCTATTACAATCATATACCACAACTTGTTCAGCTATTCCCCATTTGATGGGCATCCCCTCAATTTCCAATTCTTTGCTACCACAAAAAGAGCTGCTATAAATATTTTTGTACAAATAAGTCCTTTTCCCTTTTTTTTTTAATCTCTTTGGGATACAGACCTAGTAATGGTTGACCAAAGGGTATGCACAGTTTTATAGTCCTTTGGGTATAGTTCCGAATTGATCTCCAGAATGGTTGGATAAGGTCACAACTCCACCAATAGTGCATTAATGTCCCACTTTTCCTACATCCCCTCCAGCATTTATTATTTTCCTTTTTTGTTTGCATAGCCTTTTATTTATGTTGCAGATGTGATCGAATTGAGAGTGATGTTGGAAGATGCTGAAGATAGGAAGTATCCAGAGAATGATCTCTTTAGAAAACTCAGGGATGCTGTGAAGGAAGCAGAGACTTGTGCTTCAGTGGCTCAGCTACTTTTGAGCAAAAAACAAAAACACAGGTAAGAGTAAAGAATGGTTGGCTCATTTGTGCATTATCTTTTCAATAATTTAATAGTTTTTGTCACCTTTGTGCCCTGTTCATCACAATCAGTCCTTCAGTGTTTTGCATTTATGTTCATTGAACATGAACTTTTAACATTGCTCTTGGTTTTTTTTTAACTCTTTCAGATCTAGGTTTTCCTTCTTTTGGACACTTATGTGCATAATCCTCTAGAATGGAAGAGACAGATCTTCCCCTTCTTCCTCCACCCTGTTACTCATATTACAACTTATATTACATCTAGAACCTGGCCAACAAAATGACAGAATGAGAGGTCATAAGAAAGCCCAGTATCCTAATGCTATTCAAGAATAGTGGTGAACACCTTTAAGTTTAAAGGTAACAAAAGATCCTCAAAGACAATAGTCAGTCAGAACAGGGGAAGGAAGAATAAACAAAATGAACAAGAAAAAGAAAAAGTTATTCATTGTACCTTCATTGGTGGGGGTGTAACATCAACAAATACTCTAAGGTAACTCTAAGGTTACTAAAGAAGGAATTATTATTAGTTTGAAAGGATTTGATATTAGTAAGGGAGAAGAGATGTTATCAGTTTTTTAAAAATTGCAAAAATGAGAGAACTGTGGATATTTTAAAAAAAAACAGATTGATGAGAAATAGAATTGTTCTACTACTTGAGGAAATGCACTCACTCTCCATTTGATAGACAGGTTGACGGACTAGGGTGCAGAATGCTACATATACTGTCAGACATAGTCATGCTATTGGATGGTTTTGCTTGGAATCTAAGAACAAAAGGCATCAGTCATACTTTAAAGAAACCAAATCAAAGGTCAACTAACCTGGAAGGCTTGGTAACTTTGTAAGCAAAAATCATGTAACTCGAGGATGGTGAACAGGAGGGAGAATTTGAGTCACTGAATTCCTGGGATAAAGTGGACAGAGGGAATCCGAACATATTTCTAGAAATCACAGAAGAAAAATTTCCCAGAGTAATTAAAGTTAAGGGTCAGACCTTATAGACACAAAAAATCCACGAGATGCTAGAAAGAGTGAATGTCATATTCAACTCACAAAAAAAAATCCAGATTCAGAAATTCTTTCCTATGTTTTTCTTCTAGATTTGATCTTTGTTCTGTCAAGTAAATGATCTGACTTGTATACAGCCTGGCTAAAAATTTTTTAAAAGATAGGTAATATAACCAAAAAGAAGAGCAGGAAGAACAAGAACCAAATTACCAATAATAAAAATGACAAGGAGGAAGGTACAATGAATGAAGAAAATTATGGGAAATTATTACAGATGTATATGTGTTTTTCTTAATTATTTGTATGTATATGCACGTGTGTATATACATGTACACATATATTATGTGTGTATATACATGTACAATGAATGAAGAAAATGAAGGGAGTTATTACATGTATATATATGTGTTTGTATATATATATGTGTGTGTACACACACACACACACACACACACACACACGATTAGATTCCAATTAGATCCTAGCAAAATTGAGAATATAAAGAATATAGTTGTCCATCTATTAAAATATGAGTATCTTCCCAAGCTTGTTAGACGGCAAAACAGGAAATACATAACCTAAATAAACCAGTTTCAGGAAGAAAAATTGAATGGGTCATTAATGAATGGCCTTGTTTGAGGAAAAAAAATCCACTGGGACCAGATGGATTCACAGATGAATTCTAGTAGGCATTTAAAGAAGAAATTGTCTCTGTGCTAAATAAACTTTTATTTATTTTTAAATTTTTAAAATTTTATATTTTTTCCCCAATTATATGTAAAAAAAATTTTAACATTCATTTTGAAATTACGAGTTTCAAATTCTTTCCCTCCCTCCCTGCCTCTCTACTGTCCTTGCTCCTCTTCCCCACATTGAGAAGGCAAGCAGTTTGCTATAAGTTATACATTTGCACTCATGCAAAACATATTTTCGTGTTAGTCTAAATAAACTTTTATTTAAAAAAGTGACATAGATGTCACTCTACCCACTCTGTTCTGTTGGACAAACATATGGTTTTGATCCCCAAACCAGGAAAGAAAAGGCAGAGAAAAATGACCTTTATTATTAATGAAAATCACAACAATTTATAAAATAATTGTTCCTTGTGGTCATGTTGGATTTACAGAAAGGCTGCATGGATGGTTCAGTGTTAAGGGAAAAAATGAGCATAATTACTTTTATCAGTAATCATGATTTTTACTATTTTAATTATAATTAATAATTACCTGTATCTATCAAAAGATGTGGGAAAATAGACAAACCTATTGTTGTAAAAAAAAAATATTCAAAAGTGTAAGCACAGGAATTGAAATAGTTTTCCTTAAGCCAGGAGAAATAATCTTTCACACAGATCTCCCAGTTCTCATTAATATTATTTGATAGAATATAATGCCAAGGGCAGGGACTGTTTTAGTTTTGTCTTTGAATCCCTAGCACAGAGGCTGGAACATATTAGGTGCTTAATAAATGTTTGCTGATTGAGAAATATAGTTCTAGAAATGCTAGTTTTAAGAAGGCAAGAGGAAGAAATTAAAGGAGTAAACATTGATTTAAGACAATGATCAATTGTCTCTGTGTAAAGTATACTTTATTTAGAAAATACAAGAGGGTTTAAAAAACGTTGAAATAAATAACTTCAGTATAGTATGGAGATATAAAAGAAAACAATTGCCAATATTGAACTAACCGCTGCCCCCAAATTAAGAGAAGTCCCATTCAACATAAAGGTTTATTAAATATCTGAAAGGTAATCTACCAACACATTTATGTGATATATTGTTGTTGATTTGCATGCCATATATATGCATATATCACTACATATAGTAGATAGAGTGCTGGCTTTGAAGTCCACATGACCTAGGTTTTCACATCCCTCCTCTGAAACGTGCTGGATGTGATTCTGGTTAAGTCACCTAAACTCTTAATCTTCCTAAACAGTTCTTTAGAGCGAAAATTGCAGAAATGGCCAGTGTATATTGGCAGAGGTAAGATTTGCTCTCAGAAAGTTCTATTTGAATGAAATTACAGGTCTTGGCCAAAGTATGTGTGTCTAAAACAGATGCTTTAGAAATAAAATTAGAACATTCAAGAGGTACTTCAGTATTTTCCTCTATTCCTTTTTCTTAACCTCTTGCTATGGCTAGCATTTCTTGAGCTATGTCAGATGATATTAATAGAGTATGCAGACTTGTCTTTTACCTGTCCTTATTGGGAAAGATTCAGTGCATTTGGTTAGGTTTAGCTAATGTAGCTCAGTGGCAATACTAACAAAATTTACTTATAGATTTAATTTCATACAGTTTAATTTGTTTTATTTCTAGTAGTTTTACTACTAGGAATACATACAGATTATAAAATTCATATGAAAGAAAAGGTCAAGACTATCAAGGGAAATTATGAAAAAGAAAAAGGAGGAAAACGATTATTAAACTGCCAGAGATCAGATTATACTATGAAATAGAAATTTTCAAAATAACCTGGTACCAGAATAAAAAATTAAAAAATAGATTGATTAGTTGAATAGTTTAGATGTTATTGTTAGAACCAGATACATATAGTGCTTGTGTTCAGTAAATCTACAATTACCAAATACTGGGTAAAATAATCATTAGTCTATAAAACTGTTGGGAAAATTAGATAACATTTTGGTAAATTGGCTGCAGACCAGCATGTCACATCATTTGTCACAATAAATTCCAGATAGTTCCTTGAGGAAAATATTTTTAAAGATTGTAAGGTAGAGGGTCTAATAGAATGAAATATTTTTCCTAGCTGTGGAGTGGGGATATATCCAGTTGTGCCTCAAAGGAATGAGACAAAATAGATGAATTCAGTTATATTAAAATGAAAATCTTCATTGCAACACAGTATTCTATTCAGAAGGAAAAAAATTGTTCAGAAAATATTTTTACTTTAGATATTTCTGATAAAAGTTCATATTCAAAATTTGTCAGGATTTGACACATATGTAGTGAATAAGAGACATTCTACAGTTGATATAGACAAGAACAGGTAGTTCATTCATTGTATTTGTATTTATAAATGCTTGATGATTGATTTTTGGAAAAAAACCCAAAGTAGCAGCATACACTTTAATAAATGTTCCAAATTTTCAGAAAATACAAAGTAAAATAACTCTTAGATTCCATTTCACACTCATCCACTGGCACACAGTAAGTATTTAATAAATTCTTGTTGATTGATTGAAATTGATAAAGATATAAAGGGGGAAGGATAAAGGAAAAAGGAGGGAGTTTCCAGGCCAGGAGTTTGCTGCACTGATAAAATCACTGGTCTTCCTACCTTCTGTGCCACAAGTTATGTTACACATTCTTTATTTTGGGGTTGTTCAATAAATAAGAAAAGTTTATGGGCACAAGGCTAATTGTTTATCATAATTTAGTTTCATTTAGTTTTTTATTTTTCTGTTTTGGTTTATATATTTGAATACTTTTATTTGTCAGCATTGAACTAAAATAAAATTACAAAATTAATAAAAATATGTATACATCCTAAAAACAGCATATTGAAAAACAAAAGAAAGTGTACTAGTCAGATAGGCACATATATAGTGCATGTTGTTAAGTGTAAAATACAGTTCCTATTTAACAACAAACAAGAAAATCTTTTTTTTCTTATTTGTTAATGAGTTTGGTTTTTCCCTTTCCTATTTGTTTGTATTTCTTTCCATATTTATTGAGAAATTTTTCTGGTGGAATTGAAAATGGTTAGGAGAATGTCAAGGTTAACCCACCCTGTGATGCTGGGTCAGATAGCAGGAAGGAAAGATTGGCCCATAACTATAACATGAGGAACAAAGACTTAAATCTTTGAAGGATTTAGCTGAGGGAAAGTTAGAGATGTATTGCCCTAACTTTAACAGCCCAATTAACACATGTTATGTCTGTGGACAGTTAGTCTATCAACAAGCATTTAAGTGTCTGCCATGTGCTAGACATTGTGCTTAAT